TTTTGCTACGCTGACTTGAAATGATTTGCAATTTGATTCGAAATTTGAACAAGAATTACCCCAAGACCAGAACGTTTATTAAGTATTGACACATAAAAAACAATTATTTGTTTGAGTGAAGGAATAAGAACAGGCAACAAAATTTTAACCCATGCAATTGTTGATTGACCAACCAAAATCGTGAATTTGATAATGTTGGTTTGATACATTTTGTCAACAATCATTCCACTAACAGTTGTTTCATTAACAAATGGTTCAGATTTAAGAAGATAAAAGCAACCACGTGACTAACCTTTGAAATATCTAATAAATTGTATTACTTGAAAATGTATTTAAAGGGTTGGTTTTCGACTTGGTTAAAGAATAACTCTCTTCCTAACTCTTCTCTTGACCATATCTCTCGATATAACCAAACAACCTTAATATAATGAATGTCGACAAAATGAATGTAAACACAACCAATATTTAAGATATACAATTTAAACAAAACATGAACGATGTATGAAAAAATCAAACAAATTTATTTAATAAAAACAAAATTTACAACCCAAAAAATGTTTTTTTTGCATGTTCTAATGAAATTTCCATTTTTGAATCATCTATTACTGATTCAACGTTTTCGATGTTTTCAATGTTTTCGATAAGTTCATTTTCGTTTAATCTTTTCGTCATGCTTTTTTTTAGTACGTTGACATTTTTTTTTGATTTCGACTTGAAGATAGTCCAAGATATCAAACATTTAGATTTGGCACCTTTGTAGACAATGATTGTAATAACCATGTCCACATGTGAGTATATACACTAGAATTATTCAAATTAGTATATTTAGTGTAATCACAATATACGTAAATGGAAGCCTCTTGGAAGGTGACGATCGGTTATTTCGTAAACTAAAGAATGCAATTAACACCATTAAATGAAGTTTTAGTAATCAAAGGATACTGATTTCATGCTTTATATAGTGGTACTACCTACTGAATCTAAATAGAATGCAAGGTCAAACTTAAAAGAGTTAATTTTTGTATTAATTGATGAAGCTTGATTCTATTTCTTGGAATAATCTTCATATTTAATCAAAATCGTATATAGGAACTTCTTTATTTGAATATTCTTCTTTCATAAAAGATTTTGGTCATCATCTTCAAATTAACACCATTAGATGAAGTTTTAGTAATCAAAGGATACTGATTTCATGCTTTATATAGTGGTACTACCTACTGAATCTAAATAGAATGCAAGGTCAAACTTAAAAGAGTTAATTTTTGTATTAATTGATGAAGCTTGATTCTATTTCTTGGAATAATCTTCATATTTAATCAAAATCGTATATAGGAACTTCTTTATTTGAATATTCTTCTTTCATAAAAGATTTTGGTCATCATCTTCATGTTTGTTTTATCAACTTTTTCAGTTTTTACATTTTATTTTGTTTTTTTTTTTTGATCTTATTTCATGTTTGTTTATTAACGTTTTCAGTTGAAACCTTTTTATCGTTGATATTAGTAACAGCAACATCTAATCATTATAATCAGGATCTTTTACCACTTCTACCTGTTGCTTCTGTTGTTGCTGTTAATAAATGGAGGAAGACAACATCAAACGTGTTTGTGAAGAGAAGGTTGACAAGGAAGAAGATAATGCCGAATACATCCATGGAGAATTTGTTGTGGTTGATGATGATGATGATAATAAACTGTGAAATAATCTTGATTCTATGCTCTTCAATCTTTTAGTGATGGAAGCGACTTTTGTGTTTTTTATTTGTAATTTGGATGATAAATTCCTTGGATTTAAGAATGCTATTTGCAATAATAGCTTCTCACTTCTCATCAACATACAAACCTTTAGAATCATGAAACGTGAAATCTGCTAATGATATCTCCACGTCTTTTTTTATCCTTGTCTTCTTTCGAAAAGCATTGTACACTTGGCGTGAAATCTTAAACATCATCTATCTTGATAACTTCATAACCTCTTCGGAAAATGTCATTGCCAACGGCAAGGATTATTCAGGCTCTTTTAGACCATTGATGTGTATGTCGAGTTTGATTGCTTGGTGAACTACTAACTAATAGATAATATGAGAGAGGATATAATTAATTCATTGAATATTATCATTAATGATTGACTACTTGCAGCAAAAAACCTACTTTAATCCTGACATTAAAAAAAAGATCCTACGAACAAATATACACAACCTTTAATTATAAAGCATCTTTAATTCTAAATAACATACCACCTCTCCAGAGACTGAAAATCATACAATACCAAATAACGTAATTAGTGGAGTTTGTACTACATGACATAAATAATAATTGTTAATTTACTATTTGAAACCATTTTTAAATAGCACACACCCACACTCGGAATTATACTGAAAATTTTATTTTACGCCAAATTTGGCGTAAATTCCTTTAAGGGATAGGGTTCTGCGACACTGGCTAATTTTTTTACCGATTTTTTGATACCAAAATTGATATCATTTATAGCTTCTCAACATCCAGGATATCATTTTCGAGATCTTTTATAAAACTACATATAGCATTTTTCGTTTTCGTCTCTGATAACTTTTTCATACCCAAGGGAACGAAGTGACTACAGGGCATTGTTATCAAATCAGAAGCCAAAATAAATAACTGTAAGCTCAATAACAGTAAGTTATGATGACATGCGGAGCATAACCAGAAAACAAACCAGAAAGCAAGTAAAGGAAAAATTTTTCGAATTAAAGATATTTTCAAGCTGGGAAACTGCAAACTTTACGTGTTAAGCATGCAAAATGGAAAAACTTTACGTACTAAGCATACCAAGTTTGCAAAAAAAAGTATATAAAATTTGCTGTAATAATCAAAAATCATGAACATAATATCATCAAACATATTATCAACCCAAAGACAACCCGATTTTTTTTATTCATAACTAAAATTACCAAATCTTTACTTCTATTTAAAAAAATTAAATAACAATTAATAGATGTTCTATTGTTTCTTTCGCGGGATGAAAAACAAATAATGTTATAGGGGCTTTCTTATTTGTCACTAGCGCATACACAGGTGATTTTTAAGTAAAAATTGTTCCTATGACAAAATCAACTTGTTTTCTACGTAATTTAATCCAGACAATAACTATTACTCAACAAATAAATACGCCCACCTACCTTTTATGTCAAGCAAAAGCTGTTCTGCGGTCAAATAGTCTCGCTAGATAGTTAGTTTTTAAAATTTTATTTTCATTGCGAAATGATTTTAATATTTATTGTTTTTTATGTTTGTCTTTCTTTATACTGTATATAGTAAAAAAAATATATAGAATTTATTGGATAATCGCTGAATATTACATTCTTACTATACATCATGTGGAAGAATTCCAATTAGCATATTGATATATTTTTTTTCGCTCAAAATTAACAAATGTATAATTATTTTGGGTATTCTTGCATTTGACAGTTTTCTATGATAAAGCAAAGATTATGTGAAGGATCCATCCAGATATTAAAATTGAAAAATTCAATACGTTGATAGGATCGGGGATTGTGACCTTCAAAAAACTCTAATTTATTAATCTTTATTAATTAATATTTTTTTCAGCCATATAAAGGACATCTTTTCCAAGCGA